TCTCTCTCTCTCTCTCTCTCTCTCTCTCTCTCTCTCTCTCTATATATATATATATATATATATATATACAGAGCTCTGGAAAAAGAGGAACATATATATCAGAAATATTTCTACCAATTATTTATTTAATATTATGTATCATAGTTTTTGTTTTAAATATTTGCTTTCCATTGCTTTTATGCAGTAGTCAAAATAAAACTGCCATGAGGAAAAACTTACATGTCAATATCTATGAGGCAAGAGATTTATTTCATTCACTAGTTGTTTGGTAAGCATTTTAAGTGATATCCAGGCCACTTATAAAACTGTCATAAGTAGAAGTGAAAAGTGTTGCTCTCTAAAGTTGAAAACAACTTTGATTTTTTAAAACACTATTAAAATATACACATAGAAGAAAATCTGCCTTGCTTAACCTTTCACCTTCTATAAATAGCAAAACTTGTTTTTGACATCCAAACACAAAACTTCAGACATCTAACTGGTATATAATTCCAGGTAAGTCTGAGTCATATTTTTGTATCTGTAGAAATAATTCTATCTCTAAATACAATAAGGGCAAAAGTAGGTTTACATATGTTCAAATGGAAAATAATACAATAATTACTAAATAATACAATAAACTGTTTCATGTACTCACAACTAACTGTAACCATATTATAGTTTTATAACATTTTATGATTCTTTGCTCACTACCCTCCTCCTCCCCGTCTCCAACACTGTCAATATAGTGAACTGGAAATCTACAAAGCTGTCAATACAGTGAATTGCATATAGTAGAAAGTGCTCCTTAATGCTAAACATTAGATTAATCTAATAGAGTTTACCTAGATTTCCCACCTACAAAACCACTCTTATCCAATGTATCTTACCCATTATCACCAATTTATTTTCTAATAAATTACAATAAATTTGGTTCTGTTGTAAATCATTCAATAGCTCTCCACCTCTTAACTAATGAAAACTGACTCTTCATAAGTATTTCAAGAATCTCTTCCACATGGCCTCAACTTACCTCTTAATTCTCATAATCTGCCTACTTGCATCCTATTCACCAGTTCAATTTGACTCTACTGTTCTCTGAATACATCCCTACAATTTTCTGAACTTTCAAAGCTTTGGACTAGAATGAAGCATGACCATGAAAATGAGTACATTCTTAAATTTGTACTCTAGTCTAGACAATTAACTTGCTTCACCCTAGTCCCAGTCCTAAAGATCATCTAAAAATATTACTTCTTCTACAAAGTCTACCCTGATACCTCTCAATAACTTGTAATTCCTAGCTCCTTCAACCCCCAAAGCATTTTATATCTCTCCCATGGCTTTACAGTCATTTAACAAATTCAACAAATATTTACCAGGCATCTGCTATATATCCAGACACTGATCTAGAAGTTAGAGCAGTGAACAAAACAGATGAAAATGCAGCCTTCTGAGAGTTTACATTCTAGTAGGTCAGAGTAGCTTGTAGATGAATCTCATTCTATTAGCATATTAAGCTTGCTGTAAAGGACAAAATCTAATTACTCTTTGTAGGTCTGTACCTGATACCTGCATCGAAAATATTTAATTTAGAAAAAAAAATCTTTTTATGTACTTTTTATAAGTATTTTAACTTATGAATTATAACCAAATACAAATGTGATTTCTTATTCACTTGATCTTTAAACTTACCTGCTAATATCATTGTTGCTTAGGTCAAGCCTTTCCAATGATTGTAGTAGTGTAATTTCATCTGGGACAGATTTTAACTTGTTATCCCGGAGGTCTAGCACAAGGATAGAATTCAGATGCTTAAGATGTTCTGCCCCTAACATTTCAATTTGGTTTTCACCTAAATGTAATTCCTACAAAACCAAAGATCAATCATGTATATTTCTGTAATCAATGCTATATTACATAATGAAAATAAAATTGAAATTTTAATTTCAAATCATTGAAAAACACAGAAAAAACGTAATTTCCTAATCACCAAAGTGCTTAAATTTTCAATTACATTTAAGCTATCTTACAGCTAAAGAAAAATGACAGCAAGAAAATTTTCAAAATTTTTCTAGTAATTTAAAAATAATTAAAGGTCTAACAAAGTTCAAAGTTTACAAAACCAAAGAAGAGAACTGATTTAATAGTTACATTTATAGAATAAAAATACAAATCCAAGAACTATACTGATGAAAGATTAAAGTTTTTTTTGGTTTCTTTTGAGGGGGAG